TTGGTACTGAAAACCCGATATCTGGTACTAAAACACCATTTAATGAGTATTATCTAATCTTAAAGACAAAAATTAAACATTACCTTCAAATCTCATTTATTTGCACATTTATAAAGTTTTTATTTATTGTAATTGCAATTATACTAGTAGCTTTTACAGTTTTTGAACAATTCATGACTTAATTTTTTTTTTTTCCATTGACTTTTAAATTGAAATATTCTTTGGTTCATGAATGGTTTAAGAAAAACATACAAATACTCGGGAACATGATAAGAATCCGAAAATACGGCAAAAACCCTACAAATACTGAAAATATGGTAAGAACCCGAAAAATAAATATAATAATTAATTAGAAACAAAGTTTGAATTTAAAAAATACAAACCCACCATAACTTAAGGTATCTACAGATACATAAACATTATTTTACCCTTTTTTAATAAATATCAAGAAACGAAACACATTTCACAATCACTCTATCAAAATAGCCGGATACTGTAAGTCTTTCACGATTGGGTATTCATCGGGTAGGGTATAAAACAGGCCTTCGCCCGACAATCCTAAATGCCAAAGCTAAGGAATATCTCAATGCACGAGCAACGGCACAAAAATTGCATTTCCTACGTGAATGTACCGAGTAATGAAAATATTTGAGAATCCTATAACCGAAACAAGAAGGAAACAAAACCCTGTCATTCTTGTTAACAATCAATACAGAACCTTAGCAAGTGAATTTCACCAAAGGATTAAAAATAGAGTTGAAATCTTAGCTCAAATTCAAGTGCAGTAACTATATCTAGGGCGATATCGAACCGATAAGAGAAAACCGACACCGGACTGATATATTCGGTAATACTAAAATGCGAAACCAAAACCGAACCGATTAAAAGTCGGTAACCGATTTTTGGTTACCGAAAACACGATTCGATTTCGTTTTTTGCCGACAATAAACCGAAAACCAAACTCTCCTAGTAGGTTTGCAATTGCTAAAATGTCGAGCAAATGAATTGATTCTTTTCAGTTTGTTGCAAACACTTTCTCTTGCACCTTAATTTCAAATCCTGTTTTCAGTATTTTCTCCACGAGTGTTTAGAAAGTTAGTCAGCTACATAGCTAACAATATGTAATTACAATGATTTTCAGTATTTTCTCCATGAGTGTTTAGAAAGTTAGTCAGCTACATAACTAACAATATGTAATTACAATGAATAGCAGCAGTGGAACAAAACTAACAACATTACAACACAAAACCATTCAAATGTGAAGTCGGGCATCAAACCCCACAAACCAAACCTGAATCTTGATTTATTTATATCCACATGCTTGTAATAACAATTTGTAATAACAGTGAATAGTACCCGTAATAACAATCTGTAATAACAATGAATAACCAAAGCACGAATAGCGTTCCCAGCACCAAAGCATCCGGGAGGCCCATCGATTTAGGGCTCGCCGCCGCACCGGCGTCCTCATCCGCAGATTCCCTGACCACCGCGCCGCCCGACCTAGGCCCGAAATCGCAAAATCCTGGGCCCGAAAAACTCACGCTTCGCTTCATTGACCACAAGATAGGGCTCGGGCGCCAGTCCGAGACAAAATCCGCCGCGAGTGACATGGACGGAGCATCTCTGAAACGCAACTGTCCTGGCGGGCGGGGAGCAAGCGAGTTGAGCCCAGCGGAGGAACTCCGACGGAAGAAGGGGAGCGGTGAGTGTTTTGTATGTGCTTTCGCCGGGAAAATATAAGTGATAGGAAATAGAGATGATGAATTGAGAGAGAGAGATTTGAATCGGCGATGGAGTTCAGAACGAAGATGAATTGAGAGAGATGAAGATCTGATATTTTTTTTCAATTTTTTATGATTCTTAGATAAAAATAAATGAATAATAATATCATTACTATATATATATATATAGGGAGTAAAGTGGAAGGAGAAAATTAGTGTGAGGGAGTGCAGAGGAAAAATATTAGAGAGGGGATTGATTTGGAGGTTGAAAAGGGCACTAGGGATTTAAGTTGAATTTTCGGTTGAAAATATGCATCCATATTGAAAAAGTGTGACAAGTGACAACTTAACATTAGACGTGTAAGAGTAATCTTACTTCCGTGAAATTTAAACTTAGAGTATACTTAATACAAATCTAACTCAAAAAAATTCAAACATTTTTAGTCTAACAATTTTTTTAGCTCAACTTTAATTCAACCTCAATATCTTTGATATTATCATATATTTAAATAATATCAACCAATCATTCTTACACATCACATCAACTTCAATTCACTAGTCATACACTCACATAATTTTAACTAATCATCACTTCAAATCATCTCTTTCCTACTTTTACATAAAATCAACTTTAATTATTTTATTTTAAATATTATTTTAATATACCCACTAACAACTAACCGTACCACAATTTTCAAATTAACCAAACCACACCAAAAAAATACAATCAAATAATTAAAAAAAATTATATCCAAGCATCCCTTAGTATCTCAATTTGATTCATGATCATTTCTGAATAAGTGAAAAATAAGCCAAACAAATGCGGTCCTACGCAGATAAAGTGCACAAAGAAAGAAAAAACTCATATGAAGTTCAAGTGAGGTTCCATCCCAAAACGTGGTAGGAAGTGTAGCCAACTAGACTTATAAATTAGTCATATTTTTCCTATATAAAAGATGTGGGACAACTCACAAATGAATATTATAATGATAGAAAAATCCATCAATGAGGACAATTTTTTTTCTCAATAAATACAAATGTGTGTGTGTTTTTAGAAAAAAATCATATACAATTATGTGAAATTATTTGTGAATTAAAACTCAAGAACAATGTTATATTAGTATAATACCCTTTTATTACATACTTGTTAAAAAATTACTCTTAAATTTTAAAATTAATGCGAAAAATTATTTTAAATTTTATTTACTTTTTTACAAAAAATATATATTATTATATATTTTAGAATAACACTTGTTACTTATGCGACTTACATATGTTATATTATAGTAATTTTTATAACTTAAATGATATAACTATTTGAAACATAAATATATTAATTGATAAATTTTATTTTTTAATCATTACTAAAAAATTATTATTATTATAAAGATAAATATAATTTATTTTTTTCATGCATGCAATATGGATGTTAAATCAAAACTCGTCAAGAGATGATTAATTTTATATATTGTATATGTAAAACTGATAAAATATAAAAAAATTATTAACTTTTAAAATACATTTACAATTCAATGATAATAATAATAAATGATATTAAAATGCAAGTAATAGATGTAACATGACCATAAATAATCAACATATTTATGGATAATCCGAACTTGTTGGATTGAAAGTAAATTAAAATATACCTAAGCTTAGAAGGATGTAATTTTGCTACATAAGATCTTGAAACATGCGAGTCTGCTACTTAAATCTTAAGCTTAACACGTTTTGAATTAATATAGATGGAATGGATAGGGGGATTTCTTAGTGTTATTTTACTTATTAGATTTACGTGTTTGAGGCCTCGTGACCATCGAGGCCTGGCAGTTTGGGTTTGATAAAGTTAAAAACGGATTAAGCCCAACACGTGTTTCACTAAGTGGGCCCAACTAAAAAACACGCATCACAGGCTTGATTGTTTGTTTTCTCTTTGGGAAATTTTTACATGTACTTACAGATTTTTAAGTAATTGCGAAATTACCATCCAAACAAAAATATTTGTTTATATACCTAATATATAAAAAGTATTTATAAGCATGCCTAAAAAACCGTTTCGTGGATTGTGAACAGTTACGTGGATGCTGAACAGCTTCCATAATTTTAGGGGCACAATATCTTCTTTCAAATATTGAAAAGATATTATATTCGAATGTTAACTGCATAATCATCGTTTGACCGCATGTTGTTACAATAACAATACAATGTTATGTAACAAGACATATAACCCTACATATATACCAGAAATATACCAGAAACAGAACATAACCAGACATGTAACCCTACATATATACCCGACATATACCAAAAACTGAACAATGTTCTGTAACCGAGCATATAACCGTAACATATATACCATATATATAACTGTTATATATTCTATCATAAAACATAACAAATATACCAATTCACAGTGAACACAAGATAGAAAAAAAAATAAAAAAAGCAACTTATATACACTTTGATATACCGAAGATATACATATAACAAAAAAAAAATAATAAAAAACCGAAAATATACTATACATATACTCCAAAAATAAGTGAAACGAAAAAAAATCTCAGAAATCATCTTCTTCAACCTCCCGCAAACTTCTCATATAATATACTCCCTCCCCGTCCTAAGATCCGAATTCTCCTCTCCTCCACCTCTCGGCGTCAGCACCCTTCCAATCTCCCGCAGCGGTAGCGGCTCTCCGGCAGCGGCTTCACGGCTTCAATCTCAAATTATTTTTTTTATTAATCTGGGGTGTTTCTTCTTCTTCGTTCGCCGTTTTCTTCCGTGGATCTTGGGAGATTTTGATTGACGGGAGGGAAGTTTTTTTTTTCCTTCTGCAAGAGGTTTCGATTTCCCGAGGATTGCGTCCTTAATTATCTGATATAAATGCAACTTCTCATTTTTAGGTAGATTAGCAATATTTTACGGTTTAATTGGTGATTATATAAATATTTAAGTAATGGTAGTAAATTTATAATATATTAGGGAAGAGGAAGTATGGGGTGCAATTTCCTCTTTCTCTTTCGGCTTCTTCTAAGGCCCGTTGTTTTCATCTCTCTTTTCCATTTTAACACGTGCAAGAAATATATTTAAAATTTTGTGGTTGTATCTTTTTTTTTTTTTTTT